GTGACCGAAACTTCCAATGATGAAGATGGGACTGGAAACCTTGATAATTTGATGGGTCCTTCAGAGTATGAGAGTGGAGAAGAAGGACTAGCCATACGTATTGGTTCTGAGGTGATTACAATTTATGAGTTAATATCGTTCTGCCTTTCTTTTGTTATGGTGTTGATATCTGTAATTAATTTAATTTTCTGGCCTATTTCTAAGGTAACAAGGTTTGGTGGAAAGAAGACAGTGGCTGAGAAATCATATGCTTCTGCACTCTGTAGGACCCTGGTCTTGCTTCATTTTCGGTCATCAGAACAAGAGGCTGTAAAGTTAATGGGACATCTGTTGACTCATATCCTTGAATCTGTAGCAGCTGAAAAGGACCTTATGAAGGATTTAAAACAGATGGCTGCAAGGTTAAAAGCTTTAGACACGCACCCTGATCAGGAATTGTCTTCGGATCAAGTGAATCTCATTTTGAGTAAGAGCATTCCTTTTTTAAATGCCTTAATCTTTCTAGTATTCAATCTTCTGTCCCATTTTCCTATTCCAATATGTCTGTTCTCATTTTAGTCATTCTATTTTTCATCTTAGTCTCATCTTAGTCATTTTATTTTTAGTATCACATAGTCACATCACATGACATGTTGTTGTTGTACTATCTCTTAAACTTTTAAAAATGGTTTGACGATGAGAAGCCCCTCTTGACAAATTGGTGAAGTGCATCATGTTGTATTGTTCATCTGTATTTATTAAAATCCTCCCTTCTGAACTATTAAAAAATCATTAACAACCTCTTCCTTCCCATCCTCTCCAACAAAATCCAAACCCCTGAACCAAATACAGCCTGAAAGAAAAAAGTTTGTTAGGAGTATATGTTAGTTCAGAAACATTAGTTTATAATATTGTAAAAGTTTAATTAGTTTATATGATATCAATTAACTAGGAAGAGTTGTACACAATATGTGTGGTGGGAAAATTTATTTTAAGCGGTGTTACATAAGGCTTTTTCCCTCATTTGCAATGGAGCCAAAGATTCACTATTTTTTGGTTTGAGAATATGATGGAATAAAGTAAAATGGCTCACTAAACTGTCTGCGCTTTAGCTTTTTTGTTATGAAGCAACAGTCAGTCCATGTAATTTTGGTGCGAATTTCATTATGGGTCATCCGGAAACAGTGTCTCTGTGCTTTAATACAGGGTAAGACTGCTTACATTGGACCCCCTTACCCCACCGTAGGTGGGAGCCTTTGCGGCACTGGGGTGATGATGATGATGATGATGATGGCGTTACATAGGGCTGTTTTGTTTGCGGTTTAAGAGTCCGTTTGGTGACCTTGTTTTTTGGTTTATGACTTTATGAGCCTTAGCAACTCATTTTTTCACCAAACACGTAACTTTTGAGTTGTGTAATAATCAAAAGAAGTAAAGTTGGAGTTATTTCTTTGGCTACACGTAACTGAAGTCGTGTAGAGGACCATTTTAGCTACTTTCATGTAATTTTTTCTTTATTTTATTGATAAAACATATTTTAAATATAATTTTATCAGAATTCAGTAGAATCGGTTGATTCAGCCAATTAAGTGTACCAAACAAGCTCTAAGGTTTATCAGTTTATGCTTCAAAAATATCCGAACTAACGAAATCGGAAAACTGACCAAAGTCGATGCAATCCGGCTGAAGCAACTGCACCAAACTGCCTGATCCCGACTCAAGTTACTTTTTCTCTCCTTTCCAAATTCCAACCATACCGAACTGACTAACACCCCTAGTGTTAAATCTCTATTCTACCCTTTTTCAATGACATCCGTTCGAGAGATGCATCACATCCGTTGGAGATGATGGAATATGCATTCTTATCCGGTTCTTATTGCACATTCATCATTGTAGTTAACTAGGCATTACGAAACTGGTACAACTTGGAACTTGAGTCTGGACAGCGTGAGATGTATGTAAGTCTTACGTATACGCCTATGATTAGAGATGTTTGGTTCCTTTAAGATCCTGAACTACCTAATTAGGCATTGTAGGATCTAAATAACAAGTGTTGTAAATCTTGTTGTCCTTTTAAACCAGGGAGGTTAGATGTTGAAGCACAACTGGACGTGAACAACCCTTCGGAACAGCCAGCTAGTATTGCACATACATCAGCAAGACCAAACTGTGGCAGAAGAAGAGCGAGGAGAAAGGTGGCAGAATCATCTTCTTCAGGTTCTTCGGATGAGGAAGTCTCACCCTCATCTGTGGTCCCAGCTAACCCTTGTGTAATGAGCCGGGCAAAGAGGGCTAGCAAGACAGTTGCACTGTCCAAGATGACTGCCCTTAACACACCTGAGGAAGATGAAGAAGAGGAGGTGGAGGAGGATGGTTCAGAGGTGACATCGGACGATGACGACGACTCTGATGCCTTGTGATGATTAGTCACGTGTAAGTAGATTCATCTGACAGTATAGATTTGTCTGTTATGAGCTTAAACTGCTGATGTAGTGTCTGTATAATGCAAGTCTGTATAATGCAAGCTAACAACATTCATTTCTGTTGTTTGTGTGCCACATATTCTTCCTTTTTACACTGTAATAGTACTAAAATAATTAGCATTTCCTAGTATTATTACTTTTGAATAATGTATGAGTTAATCGTAAAACATATGAGCTAATATATTTCTTTTGATAGATATGGGATGGTTCTAGTAAGACCCCTCTTAAAATGAGAACGTTTTTAAAAATGAGAATTTCTCATCTTCAGCCTTCATTATTACAATCAATGCCTCATATTGACAAGGAGGCATTTTGGTAATATTAAGGATTAATTGCAAAAATGCCCCATTTAAATTTTAAGTAACTATAAATATGACCCTATGTGAATATTAACCAATGATTGTAAAAATGAAATGTTGTAATCAGAAGTTCTCATTTTAAGAAGGGCTCTCACTAGAACCCTTCCTTTACAGGGGGCAGGGGGCGACCCTGGGCCCAAAAAATGGGGAAAAAAATTAGGCTCAAGTTTAATTTCTTTATAATATGTGTGACAGTGTGAGTATGATGAGTTTTTAGTCCAAAACTAATAATTTTTTTGGTGAAATTGTTTGAGGTTCTTCCAAGTGGTTTTTTTGATGAAAGTTTATGAACATGTTCTTTATGAAGTGTTGATTATGTCAAAAATAAATTAGTTTAAAATTTAACAGATAAGTCAGTTTAAAAAATTATTGAAAAACATTGCATTATTTATGCATATTTTGGCGCAATGTTTTTCAATAATGAGGGTAATGTCCAATTTTGTTCATTGTTCATTATTGAGAGATGTGCATTAATAATTTTGATGGCACATTATTGTACATCACCATCATTATTCACTCCTAAATTTTAACAGTTTTATTACTTCGTATTTAGTTAGGCTAAATACCTTTTATTTTGAAAATAAAATATAAATATTCTTTTCTAACTTTGCTCATATTTTGAACAATTTTTTTTAAAAGAAATTGAACAAATACGATCAAAAAAAAATTGAACAAATGAGTAAATAAGTTTTAAAAAATGCAGAGGAAATGGATGTGGTGCTACAAATATATCTTAGACCATACGTAAGAACCTAGACGAATATTAGTTCTAATATTCTCTCTTTTCGTAAGAACCTAGACTAAGTAGAATATTAGACCATACGTAATATTAGTTTTAATATGATATCATTATATCCGGTAATAACTTGAAGCAAACAACGGATCTATGGTTAAGTTAGCTTCTTCACCATACAAAGGTAATAAATTTAAGAAAGGGATAGATTAAGGAGTTGTTCTCTTCATATGGAATAAGTTACCTTTTTCACCATACACTATTCACATGTTCTAATAACTTTGACTATGTTTCATTTATTAATGTATTAAAAAATTAATTTTAAAAGAAAATTGTTAAATTTATGACATCGTAATTTTCAAAATATGAGTTTTATTTATTTATTTTTACTAATAAAGAATTAGGTATACTAATTGTCAAAGTTCTGAATCATCAAATTAGGAATACTATATAAGACTAGTAGCTAATTAGCCGCCATCATCAAATTAGGAATACTATATAAGACTAGTAGCTAATTAGCCGCCAATTAGGAATAGTGCGATTCTACATTCTCACCAAATTTTAGTCTAATATATGCATGACACTATGACAGAAGTTGAATGTAAAAAGTGGACAAATTAAAGTACTCCGTAGCTAGCTAGGAAGCACGGAAACTCTCCATGGCTCACGTTTCCACGTTTCGGAAACTCGGAAGCGTTTTGGAAACTTGGAAACTTCAAATTCCCGTTTCGGGGCCGTTTCCGTAATTAAGAAAAATCTGGAAACCCGTTTCACTACGTTTCGGAAACCTCGGATTCCAATTTTTTTCTTTTTCAAAAGATTCTGTGGTGGAAAATAATGTTTATAGTGAATTTTTGTGGTATTTCTCAGCGGCAACACTTGTTACATTTCGTAACACAATATATTGCTAGAAATGTATTACTCCGTACATTTTATGTTTAATTATGTACTAATATGAAATAATATCTAAATTCGAACATGTAGAGTGATTTTATTATTTGATTACTAAACAAATTATATTAAAAAAACATGTGCATATGGAAAAACTTGTGTACATATATTAAAAAATATTTATAAATATATCCTTATATTTTATAATATTTACGTGTTTCCCCACGTTTCGTGTCCTATATTTTTTAGAAATTACGTTTCTCGTGTTTCCCGTTTCACGTTTCCCGTTTCCGTGCTACTTAGCTCCGTAGTTTGTAATCTAACCTAGCTAGTTGTGTTTTGAAGAAAGTTTGTCTATGAAGATATTATCTCGCCAAGATTAATTCATAAAGTTACTTTCTTTCTTTGTGAAAGCACAAAGTTACCCTTTTAATTAATAGGAGGAAATATTTTTAGATCAAATATACAAATAAACTTTTAACATATACGGAGTATAGTCTTATCTGCACATACCAATTTCATTATTTCTTTATATTGTGCCATCAATTGAACAAAGGTTATTCATCGTATATATAATCTAGATAGAAAGACGCAGATTGATCTATCATTCTTTCTTCAGACTATCAGATTTAAATATACATATCCTCATAAAATTAAACCCTATATCCATATATACATGGGCAGATTATTAAGCTCTTATTTTCTGGCATTAGTCATCTCCAAAATTCTTCTTTTTTCGCAATACTGTCTTCTCTTGCAATCGGCCGATTCCTCCGCAGATGATATTCTTTATGGAGTATACAACCAATGCACTCCGGGTAAGCAGGGCGTAGCAATGTGGCCACGCCCGTTTAACCGCAAATTTGAAAAACAACTATGAATATTAGTGTATAAACTTTTATTTAAATATTTATTCAAAAAAAAATCTTTGTACTAGCTGGCCTTATTTATAAAAATATTTATAAAAATATGACCAAATATGACCAAAAATATTCATAAACTTTTATCAAATAACTTGTCAAAAAAAACTTTTATCAAATAAAGTACACAAAAAGGAGTACTTTGTTTTATTCACAAAGATTTATTTATTTCTATTTTAGATAGATAGAGAACAATGATTACCGTCTTATTTAAGGAATTCTCTCTGGATTTTGCCATGGCAGGTAACTACTCTGCCGGCTCGCCTTACGAGTCCGATCTCAACTCGCTCTTCGCTTCCATAGTCAACTCAGCCGCCATCTCGTCCTACAACAACTTCACCACTGCAGGATCTGTCAGTGGCCAAAGGTCGGGTTATGCGGCCCACGGCCTCTACCAATGCCGAGGCGATTTGTCACTGCTAGACTGCGCCGCCTGCGTGGCCGGCGTTGTGAAAAAGTTTGCCGGAATCTGCCCCCAGACGACCGGAGGGGTCATACTAGTAGTTGGGTGCCTTGTGAAGTACGACTGTACGAACTTCATCGGCGTGGAGAACAAGACAGTGGCGTTCAAGCAATGCGGGAGGTCCGACCCGGCCGTGGCGAACACGGTCGATGCCGTTTTGAAGGGCCTGAGTGGGCCCGTCGGGGTGACTAAATTGAATGCGGAGTATGAGGTGATTGGGATGTCGCAGTGCGTGGGTGATCTGAGCGTGGAAATGTGTGAGGATTGTTTGGGGGAGGCGATCCAACAGCTGAGAACAACGTGCAGTGGGGCGGTTTCCGGCGAGATGTTCTTGGGCAAATGTTATGCTAGGTACATGATTGGTCAATCCAGGCACGGTGTGTTTTTTATTTTACTACCTTGGATTACAACTTTAAATTTCAGTTTTTAATTGTGCTTTTATGATACCCAATTTTTTATGGGTATGTTTGAGAGTTTGAAGAGAACGGGAGGGAAAGATTTTGAAGGAGTCATTAGAAGGGAAGATGCGGGAGAGAGGAGGAAAGTCAGGAAACTAACTCTCTTGTTGGGAATTGAAGTAACAAATTTGAGAAAATAGATATTATGATTGATTTATAATGAAAACCATTTTGCATATATAATATATGATGAATTCAAATAATTGAATTTATATATTTATCTAAAATCTAGTTAAAGTTATCATTTAATTAGTTATCATTCAAAATATATCCTCAAATTTTAAGGGAACTTAAAAATTGAGAATTTCAAAGAGTTTTGGAGGGTTACAAAAGTCGTCCAAAATTATTCCCTCAATACTTTTACTCTCAAACATGAAAAAGAGGGTTATAAAACTCTATCAACCTTCTCCTCCCCTCCAAAACCCAAACATACTCTCAAACATGAAAACGAGGGTTATAAAACTCTATCAACCTTCTCCTCCCCTCCAAAACCCAAACATACCCTAAGTGAAATTAGGAGTAAAAACGTTTTGCAACATAAAATATGAGTATTATATACATTTTTATACCTGAAATATGAGTCGTTACTGTGATGATTGAAAATTATTGTCATAATGATAATATATATTGTCATATTAATGTCTTGTATTGCAACTATTTTGGCAATAATGACTCAAGTTGAATAGTAAATACTGACATGTCACTCATTTCAAGAAGAAAAATTTTAATTGTCCTGAATTTCCAAACATGTTTACTTATTAATTTCGGGATATTTTTTATTTCATTGGCATTCATTAATGTGTGTATTTTTTGGGGGTAATGGATATGCAGAACCACACAATAAACATGTGAAGAGAGTGATCATAATCGTGCTTTCAGTTATAGCCTCAATTGTGGCGTTGGTGCTTTTGGGATTCCTCATATATTATTTGTACAATTGGACTTTGCCTTTGCGCTTAGCGAACCGCCTCAAAGGTATTTGGAACAAAGGCACTAAGTAATGGCGAGGCTTAGCTTATGCCATTTGGAACTCAGCCGTATGTCCGCAATGCAGTACTACACATTGATTTCAAGCATTTGCTTAAATTAGACTCAATTCCAAAACCATACTTCGAAGGTTCTCATTTGAAGAAATAGCATTTTGAAGGTTCTCATTTGAAGAAATAGCATGATTTTTAGGTGACTAATTATGTTAGAGCAAAAGATGTTTATGAACAATGTTCTCACAAAAAGAGAATCATAATAAGTAGTGGTGCACTCTAGTCTAGGGGAACTAATGCTATATTTTAGTCACACATTTCACAAACAGTGGATCACATTATGAGTATTGTGTAACTAGAATGAGTTTATTTTGCAAATTCACATTAATAAAAGTAGCCAAATAAATTATGTTATTGAGTGAATATATATATATATAGGGGTCAGTTCAAGTAAAAAGTAGTCTTCCCATGAAAAGTGAGAATAAATCTTGACCTTTGATCACTTGAAAATAGATGGATGAGATGATCTTTAATCACAATAGACCGTTTCAATAAATGTGCAAACGTTTGTACTATAAAGTGGATAATTTACTGATTAAAAGTGCACTCAATAAATAGTGCACTCAATTTACTAACGTTTCAATAAATAGACCGTTACTATAACGTTTGTACTAAAAGATTGTCAAAGTTTGCCAAATTCTGCACTTTTTATTTCATACTGTATTGCACTTTTGTACTCTACGTGTTCACTTTTTAACTATTTTGATACACATTTGTCACAAAATTTTCAATAAAAGTTCTCCGTAATTACAAAAATGCCACCGCGTTTCAACCTTAAAATTTGATCTCTTCCATCCACTTTTTCACATCAATAGCCAAGATTAGTTCTTATTTTTCACCTATGAAGTACTTTTTATTTGAACCAAATTTTATATACATATATATAGGGAGCGATTCCGGTAAAAACGGATCTTAGGAGAGAAATGAGAACAAATCTCGACCGTTGGATTGAATTATGTGGAACTGAATTGTGCATTTGGTGAAACTGAAATGTGCATTAGATGATATTGAAATGTGCAGAATAAAAATTTAAACTCACATGTGCATTAAGTGAAACTGAAATGTGCAGAATAAAAGGTACAAAAATAACATCACATCGTACCTTTTATTCTGCGCATTTTAGTTTCGTCTATTGCACATTTCAAATTCACCTAATGCACAATTTAGCTTCACATAATTCCACTACATTGTATCCTTTGTGCTACACATTTCAATTTCACCTAATACACATTACAGTTTCATCTAATGCACATTGAATTTCACATAAAGCAAATCTAACGGTCTAGATTCATTCTCATTTTCACATAAGATGGTGGGTTAGGATGTGTTCTCATTATGTGAGAAATGAGAATATATCTTAATCACTCATCTTAATTAATAAACGGATGAAGATGTGGCGTACACCTAATTTTGGTATGAATGCAGGAAATAGTTTGTGATTGAAATAGTTTGTATATACTCTTGTGGCTTTTCGGATAATAGGCAAACTATTTACTCTTGTGTTAATTGTTATGTGTTAGATAATGCTTTTTGTGATTGAAATATTTACTCTTGTGCTTTATATACAAACTATTTGTGAGATACTCCTTTTCGGGTGCATTAAATATTGGTTGTTGTGAGTTAGATACATGTTCTTTTGTGTGTGATAGATGCGTGATAAGTCCGTATTTAGACACACATTTGATGCGTGTTGGGATCGGCTTTTGATGGTTTTTCCTAGCTTTAAGGTGTTACAAGTCTCAATTTTAGCTCAAGTTATGTTTATCGGGCGTTGGTTCGAGTTTTGTGTTGTTTAGAGTCAAAATCAGGAATTTAGAGTCCGGCACCGGCGCTTGAGAAGAAATCGGGAAGAGTTGGAGAACATTCGAGAGAGATTTGAGAGTTTTGGAGGCCACCGGGAGGTTCACGACGAAGATTTGATGAAGAAACGGCCTTTGGATTGATTAAAGAAGTATCCAGGAACAAACTGTGAAGAAAATGGCAAGAAAACTGTCCAAGAGCATTCCGCGCGCCCCGCGGTGCAGTTCCGCACGCCCCACAGGCGATTCTGAGAGCAAAAAGTTGAGGGGTCTGAACCGCACACCGCGCGGCCAAAACCGCACACCGCGCGTCCGAAACCGCACACCGCGCGGTCCAGAAATAGCCCCCAGAAGTACCCGCGCGGTTGCATAGTGCGGCGCCCGCACACCGCGCGGGCGGAGCGAAAGTCGGAAGACAGAAAAACGCGCGCGTGACCGCGCGGTGATTCGCACGGCGTGCAGACGACCGTGCGGGCTGATTTTCGGCCAGATTTTGAGTTTTTCTATAAATAGGCCCCTGTTTTGCCTGTTTTTGACTGGGGAGAGCTTAGAGAGAGTGCCTAGCACGAATTTTAGAGGGCTTTTCAGCCTTGTTCATCAATCTTTTGACATTCTTTGTAAGTTCCACCTTTTTAATTAATGACAATTAATTCTTTTTATTCCAATTCTATTGATTCTTCAATTATGAATTGTGAGTAGTTTTAATTAGGGATTTGAGATTGATGAAGGGGTTGATCATGATGTATGGCTAGATTCCTTTCGGTTTAATTGCATGAATGTCGTCGTTTATTTTGTGTTTGAGTAATTTAACTGATATCTTTTGTAACCTAGAACGGCCGCTAGAATTACAATTGCTTGTAGAATAAGTTAAGAGAGGTCTAATTTATTCTAGGACACATTCACACACACTTAATCGTTTGCTAAGAGATTAGTAGCAATTAAGGGGCCGTAAGCTCGCTCGTCTTGGCAATAATTTAGGATCCTGTCGCATGAGAGATCAGCCTGGTCCCCTAAATTATTGTACTCTACGTCGCGAGAGCGGTAAGGACTTAGTAATGATTAGCTAGGCTCAATTAAAATAATTTCATGTAATTAAGCCTGATCTGCCAGAAATCTAGTTACCCTGGAATCAATCCATGTTCTCTTCGTCATTAATTAGAAAGAACCCCCTAGTTTAATCGTTTTATTCGCATTAGTTTAATTTTCCAACCAATCAATCTCGCACGACGCTTTTATTTTATTTTCTTTTTAATCGCTGAATTTAATTAATTCTTGATTCCCTTTTGTCCGTCCCTGTGGAGACGATACTCGTACTTACACTACTATATTACAATCTTTTGAAGTGCGAGAAAACTCACATCAATGCGCCGAAGATGCTTGTTGTGAGTTATTGTACACAAATAATACCTTTTTTATATAACAAATTATATATGCAATATTGGTGTCATATGAAAGATAAAAAAAATTATTTAATTTGATATAATTTTTTATGAAATTCAATTATAATTTAAAAAGTTAAATCAATTTTAAACTAAAAGCATTTTATATATTTTGAGATTTTATTTGTCCTACTTTTTTGGAAAGTTGTACCCTACAACTGTTACTCATTAAATGAATTAATAAAATTACTCTTTTGTCCATTGTTAGTTACACGCCTCACCTTTCCATATGTATAAGATAGGTTACAATGTGGGGATGTCCATCATTATATTGTGAGCCAATCATTTAATAGCCATTCATTTATGTAGATGGTGGGCTAGGATGTGTTCTCATTTTCACAATAAGGAGTGTTCTCATTAGAACAACTTCATATATATATATATATATATATAGGAGTGTTCTCATTAGAACCACTCCAATATATATATATATATATATATATATATGTATGTATGTATGTATGTATATTTATAGGGTGCGGTTCCGGTGAGAACACCTTCTTAGGAGAGGAAAAAAGATTAAAATCCAACCATTGATTAATTGTATACTACGACTTGTGTTACAAGAGAATTAATACTCCCGTCCACTATTTGCGGCTAAGTGTTGGAGTTTTAAAAATGTAATGCTTCATTACAATTATTATGGCTATGTTTGGCACACAAAAGGCTCTAGCTTCTAGCTTCTCTATTCTTTATAAAGAACTTAAAAGACTCTAGTTGTATGTTTGGCATGACATTTTTTTAAAGCTTTTCAAAAATTAAAAGATCTTTTTTGAGATGCTACCGGGTGTAGCATCTGAGAAAAACTCGTGTCTTTTAGTATTAATTAGTCCTAACAGCTTGTCTACCAAACCGAACTAAATCAAACAGTCAGCTTTATACCAAACAACTATCACCTTTTATTTTTAAGATCTTTTGAGTCACTAAAAGCTAACAGTTATTAAAAAGTTCACAAAAGTATCTTTTCAGCTAGTTGTGCCAAACATACCCTATGTAGGGGTTCAACAGTAATATTACATGGGAATGATTGACACGTATGGAAAATTAATTCTGTGATGATTAGTTCCCATATCTTATAAATATGGATTTTTAAATTATTTTCCTTAAAAAAATTTAAGGAAAATAATATTGTAGTTCCCATATCTTATATTTTGTAGTTTTGCTAGATCATGACAAGTATGAAGAAGAAAATACATCACAATGTGGCCTAAAGAAACTTAAATGAACTCCACAACTTTAGTTCAATGCATTATTTGACCTGGTTCGTGAAAGAATCTCAACAATCTTATTTGTAAGATCCTATTAATAGTAGGATTCAAATACGATGTGGGGGCTGTTCCTATTTGTTCACAAATTTACCAAAAAAATTGAACTTTTCACGTTTTCACAAAATTGTAAAAGTTACGGAGTATTAAACAAATCACCAAACTGATCTACTTTATTTTTATATGCACTTACTATTAGTCTATTACTAATTGATGCACACTCTTACCTTATATAATTCACTTTTCTTGTTTTCTGATAACTCACTAACAGTACTACTTCAATGCACTTTTCCTCTTTCCCCACCACAAATTTGCCAAAATGCTGCATTTTTCACTATTAAGCAAAATTCATTTTTTTTCTTATATGCACTTAGTATTACTAATTGATGCACACTCTTACCTTATATAATTAACTTTTCTGATAATTCACTCGCACTACTACTTCAATGCACTTTTCCCCCTTTCCCCCACAATTTTTTCCCAGACCGACACAATGGGTGCACAACAACATCTTCCATCCAGGTTTTCTCTTTTTTCATTAATCGGGGAAACCTTTAGTTGAAAATTGGATGCACAAAACCCTTTGACCGATAAATGGATGCACTTTTCTCTTTATTCAACCTCTACTCAAGTAAACATACTATACTTTATCCAAAAATTAATCGATGAGGTTAAACCAGGGGTTCCATGTATTACCTTTTGTTGCAATATTACTGCTTCTTGATGCAACATCGTTTGTCCATTTCATTCTTATTCTTGGGTTCCTAGGGTTTTGGCGATGGCTGATATCTTCTTCGCTGCTTTGATTAAGCCCTGTTCTGAATATAAATCTTCTCACAAGGTAGTTTTCTGTTTTGAATCATAGCAGCACAATTAGC